CTGCTCGGCCGGGATGTAATCGGCAGGAAGGGCTCCGTTCCTGACCTCGGACGGCGTGGCCAAGCCAAAGTGAAACTGTTTGTCGATGAGGCTCAGTGGTTTGAGGAATCCAAGTGAAATCAGAAGGAAAAAAAGCCTTTCTCTCCCTCACCGTCATCTTAACGTGCTCTCGTGTGTCTCGGGAAGGTTTTGGATGACCGTGTTCCTGTAATGGTTTTCCCATGGAGGGTAAATATAGGATGGCTCCCATGTACAGCCGCTGTTCCTGCAGGGATTTATTGCTACAGCACTGAGGAAGTAAATATTCTCCTGCTTTAAACACGTTGTAGCTGCCCTGGTATCTGACCGAACAGGGCCGTGCTCGTGCTTTACTCACTGTTCAAACAAAAAAGATTGGGAGCGATTTACAACAGGTAAAACTCTGATGTCACGCTTGTGTTTTAACGAGGACACACGTACGTCACGCCAGGGACGCCCCTGCCGTGGTCCCGTGGCTCTTTGCAGCTGGTCTTTGGGGCAGGTTTTGTGTCCTCTCGCGGGAGCGCGAGGTTTCACCTTCACCTCTGTCCCTTCTTTTGAAGAAAAGTTTCCCCGGTCATCAGCAGCTGGACGCGAGGAATCTCCGACTGCTGCTGCCTGGAGCCTCCAAGCCCTGTCTCTGCAATTTGAACATGGCATCTCAACGATGTAGGACAGCACTGCCCCGGTCTGGTCAATCTGGTGACAAACGAGCCTGTTCCCTGCCGGGGTTTGGATCCGTGTGCTGGCTCGGTGCTGCGCAGGGCTGGGGGGACGGTTTTCCTGCCCGACAGGCGCTGCCATCCCCTTCCACACGCTCTGGAGATCTTGCTGGAAGATTAGAAGTGTCTTCACCCTCACAGCCTTGTCACGCTGATGAATATCTCTTGGGTTGGCTTGCCTTGTTGTGGATCCCGGGATAGCGCTTCGTGCCCTGTGAATCCTGACATAATTGGGGAGCTTTGCCTTTTAAGGAGACTTTGTTCACGATGTTGAATAAGCTGGTCCAGTCTTGTTAAAAATATCTCTGGCTCTTCTTTCTGGTACTTATTGTAAGCAGTTAACGAGAGATGATTAACTGCTGTCATTTATTCAGTAGCCTGCTCTAAGCGGCAGCTATCTCCAAAACTTCGATGCAGGCTTCAGACAGGGCTGGAAACTCCCGTCCATCTTTAGAGATATCGATAATAAAGTCCTTGAGGTTTCTCTCAATGCATCTTCCAGGCAGTGGTGGTGCTCTGAGATCCCGTGCTGGTGGCTGACTGCAGGGCTGGTGATATTTGGGGCAGTTACTGAGATATTTAGACAACGACGTTAAGTTCCAGGTGATTCTCCTTTGAGTTCTCTTGCCTCGGTCTCCTCTAGAGAGGCATCTCGTTTTGTTTCTGTAACCTGTTGGATCAGAAAGAAGTGGAATACTATCTTTCCTTGCACATACCTGTTGTATCAAAATCTTCCAGCACGGCACGACAGCAACTCAGTATTTGCCTTAAACACTGCGTTGGAAAACGGTTTTAATCTTCATGTCAATGCAATTTGGTCTGAACATGAAATTATTCTGCACTGAGGAATTTGAAGTCGTGCAAAATTACACCGTGTATCCCTGCTGCTTGTGGAAGTGATGGTAGGAAGGGCAGAAAACAGGAATGTGCTCGCTGGTGTTCCACAGATCAATGTAGTAATTGACTTGTGAGCACCGAGTTTGTGGCTGGACGTACTTCCTGAATGAAATGGAGTAGCTGGAGAAGTAAGAGAGCCTTCGGGTGCTCAGGTCCTTCCTTAGCTCTGAAGCAGGAAACAAGTTGAAAAGAATTGCTGGAGTTTAACCGAGGCTCCTAACAACCCTCTGAAAGGAAAGGAAAGGCACGTGGGGCCTTTGGAGCAGAGAGGAGAGCTCGGAGGAGGAGGCACAGCCGAGTAACGTGGCTTCACGTGGTTCAGTGGCTGAACTAAGTCCCCGTTTCCCCGTTTCACAGCATGAAGAGTCAGGCTCGTGCTTGTTTCAAGAGAGTCAACTGTCTTTTAGTCTGGAGCTTGCAGAAAATAACTGGAAAACACGAAGCTTGTGGGCATCTTCTCATTCATCTCTGCTGGTGCCTTTGTATCACGCTCCGTTTCACAGCTGCTCTTTTCCTTCCTGCCCTATCCAGGGCACGGACACACATGTCCAAACACACTGCAGCTTCCTTGCAAGTTGTCTGCTCTTCGTCTATCTGTTTCAGACACGTGCACAATAGCAAGGGAGTGAAGCTGAGCTGCCTTGCCTTGGCTGTACTGCCTAATTAAGGAATTTTCTTTTTTTAAAGCTGTGCAATAAGCTGAAAGGTCGTCTCCCTATGAAATCCAACTGCTCCACGGCTGGAAGCAGTGAAACAGCGGTGCTGCTCTCTCTGCCCTTTCGATAGCAGTGCAGGGCTTTCTTTTTCCTGGAGGTGAGCGAAGAGAACTGCGTGTTTCGCCTCCGCATTCTAGTGTTTCTCCTTATTTCTGAGCGCTCTCCTCCCAGCCTGACCATTCAAGATCTTATAGTGGTTAACGCAGCCTTTGCTTCCCTCTTCCCGTACCTTCCAGGGAGTTTCTCTTCCTTGTGCAGTCGTCTTCTGCTGGACTTTAGTCAGGATGGGACCTCGCCTGGTCCGGATTAAAGGCTGTCGTGCCATCACGCGTCAGCTGGCTTGTAAGCTCGCGTCGAGCGAGCCCATGCGCCTGCAAAACTGGTTAAGCTAAAGCCTCCGGAGGAGTAAGTAGTGGAATAAAACCTCACAACGTGGCGGTTCCGCTGGTTCTCCCCGTTTTTTTTACAGCCCTGCTTGGCTGAGGAGTCCTCCTTCATCAAGCAGCATCCGAAAGCGTCCCATCGGAGATCCCTCAGCCCGGGGTGATTCATAAACCAGCGCAACCTGTTGCGTGGGGAGTGCCTGCTATGGAGGAGATGCGTGGGGTTACTCATTAACCGTTCCGTAGGTGCCTCTCTCCATGGAAGGCTGTGCTAACACTCCGGGAACAGCTCCAGCGGGTTGCAGACAAGCCAGTTGACTTCTCTGCAGCACACCGACTCGGCCAGCCTCGATTGCTGGCTCTTACCTCGTCACAGCCTCTATTACTCCTCACCCCATTAACCACCAAATTAAAATGATCATGAGATGCGAGTTGCTGGGAGAGGGAGGGAAGGGTGAAAAGCCACTTTTTAATTTTTTCAGCTACGCTCAGCTATGAGGTTTCCAGGTTGTTGTCACAGAAGGATTTCCCACTTGAAAAAGTACCTCGTTTCTCTAATAGCTGGGCAGGGAAACACTCCAGAGGTCCAAGGCTGGCCGTTAAAGAGGGATCTGTCATGGAAAGTAGTGTGTATAAAAGAAATAAAAACAGCTGAGGGCGTTGCAGGTGAGGGGAGAAAGGTGTTTTCGGCAGAGGTGCCGAGAGCCTTTTTTTAAGCAATCAGACTATTCGATGGAGACAAGTAGGAGATGCTGTGAGTACGGGTGAATGCAGCTGTTATGCCAGCAGCATTAAAACCTCCAAAAGCAATTGGTGTCACACCTCCAGCTCAGTTTTCCTGGGTGTTTTGCCTTTTCAGAGCCATCATTGGCATTTTAGCTCGCTGGTCTAAATGCCTTGTGAGGCAACCAGGACCAGTTGTACCTGGAAACTCATTTTGTGAGGCTCTGCTCTGCTTTGTGGATCCTTGCTTGTTTTGTGGTTCAAGTGAGGCTTGGGAGATGGTCCTGGGTGTCCCACAACTCTCTGACCACAGGTGAATGAATTCGTGTCCCTCTTCCAGTCCCTGGAAATTAGGAATAACTCGCTGTAGGTAAGTGGTAGTAATCTGCAGAAAGGGCTCCTTGTGCCAAAAGCACGTTGTAGTTCTTCAAATATACCTCTGGGCTGAGCAGGAGATTACTTCTGCCCACGAATCTTGCCTAGCTGGTAGTCATCTCCTTGGTTATTTCAATTCCCTGCCAGCCAAGGCCATCTCCCTGTGGCAGGGATGCGTTTCACCCCATCCTGTTCCCAAGTTAATGAGTGGGTGGAAGGTGGGCAGTACGGATAACGTATAAGCTGAGGATGACCCGTGTCCGATGCTGATGTGTCTTTCCCCTCTCTCTCCTTTCAGGATCCCTCGGTGACACAGCTCACAAACACCAGCCAAAGCGGCCTGGATGAATTCAACCCCTTTTCTGAGAGCTCCCAGCTGGTACGTGCCACGTGGCTTTGCACTGAGCGTCTCGGTGGTGGTTTCAGCAGTGGGGAAGGTCCCTGGGCAGGTGCAGCTTCAAAGAAAAACGACGGAGGCATTCGCAGCTGATTCCCTCACGGACAGCGTAGCATCCGTGGCAAGCTGCAAGCGACTGCTCCTGCACTGGAGCACTAAGAAACTCCCAGCTGGAGCTCTCCACTCGCGTGGAACAGCTTCTCTCACACTCGCTGCTGCCTCGCAGCGAAGCTACATGAAGTGTGAAGGGGAAGATGTTTTGTGGCAGGAGGCGTCGATATTTATGTGGTCGCTGGGCTGGGAGCTGAGCTGCTGCGGTGATATCATTGATGGCTCGCTGCAAGGACGTAGTTCTTATTTCTAGGCTGCTGTCGTGGGTGAGATGGGAAAAGGACATTGGGGAAAACAGGGTAGAGCAATATTTGCAGCTCAAAGAGGACTGGTCAAAATCCTTTTTTTGTTTCTCCTCTGCCTAATAGCCGTAATGCTTAAGTGCTGCTCCCCCAGGGCAAGTAAGGAACTAACAATTTTTTGAAAACAAAGAGCTGCTTTCTGGTTTAGTAGTGCTAAAACTTGAGCTGTTCTTGGCTAAAAGAAGCCCCGTGTAACGTGTTTTGCCTCGTTGCTTGTGATTCATACGCAGACAAATGCGGCACGCACGACGCCGGCCACGCAGCCCTCGGGCCACTCGCAGCCTGCTGTCCTGCAGACATCCGTGGAGCCCACTCCCCAGGTATGGCAACCTGCTGCCTTCCCGAGAGCTGGGCTGGAGAGCCTGAAGGAGCTCCTGTGGGCTTCTGGAGGCTTGTGGGAATGGGAGTGGAGCAGGATCCTCTGGGGTCGGGTGCGGGAAGCTGCAGATGATCTTTTAAACTTGCATTCGTACCTGCCTTGCGAAGCAGATCTCTGTAGGAAATACATACGTGCAGTTCTGTTTCTGCCTTTTCCCCGTCCTTCTGGTGGCAGGGCTCACGTCGCCTTGTATCCTGTTTGCTCTGGCTTCCCTCTGCAAACACCGAAACATGCCCTGCTAATGGTTTTAGCTTAGTTCTGGTGACTGCTCAGTCACGCTCGGTTCCAGGAGTGTAAAGGCAGTCTAGCTGCGCGTTGCAGCCGCTGCTTGGACGGGCTGGCAAGTACCCGGCTGCCAGGGCCACCTCATCCAAAGAGCAGAGAAGCTGAGGCAGAAGAGGTGCTTGAGAGGTGGTGGTAGACAGCTGTTTTGCCTTTCCTTTGTACCTCCTCTCCTAGCTGGGAAGGAAATTGTCCTGGTAAACTCCAGGGTCCTGGTCACTGCTCTGGTGTAAGGCAGTTAGAGCAATGAGGCAAACTGGGAGGTAGAAGGAGCTCCAAGAAAAGCATAGCTTTGCTGGAAGGGTGTAGAGCATGGGCAACAGAGTGGACAGCCTCCTGAGGGCTTTTCCAGCCCTGTCTTCCCATGGGATAAGAGAGGAACATCCGGGTGGAGTTCTGCGTTGATGTTGATTTTTGTCTTCCAGTGGGTAAGGCAGAAAGCCTCAAGAAGCTCCAGGTGAGCCACAGGTGTTCAGCTCTCCAATTGTCCTCAGTTGTTGCTGTTGAATTGCCTTTTGCTTCCGTTCCAGTTTAGCACCTGGTGTGTTTGGCGTTGCCGCTGCCTCGGGTGGGGAAGGACTTACCTTTTTCTCCTCCTGCTTCAGGCTGTGGCTGCGGCAGCGCAGGCTGGGCTGCTTCAGCAGCAGGCGGAATTAGAGAGGAAGGCAGCCGAGTTGGAGAAGAAGGAAAGGGAATTGCAGAGTAACGCAGCCAGCATCAATCGTGAGTACTGCTTCCCAGGGAAGACTGAGTCGCTCGGCTTGTCGGAATTCGATGAAGGCTCAGCCTGTCCAAGCCGTGTGTCTTTCCTCTAGTCCCTCTTGGGACTGGACCTGTTGTCCCATAACTGACAAAGTGGGAAACAAGCTCGGAGATGAGATGCTGGAGACCAGCTCTGGTGGGTCCCTGCCCTCGAGCGTGCTCTCAGTGTCCGTGCTTGGCCACCTTAAGTTCTTCAAGCACCAATTTTGCTTCCGTGTCCGAGCTGTTGCGTGACACCGCCGCATTACTGAGGGCAACAAAGCCTTTTTTCAGTCTCTTAACCAGAGCGAAAACCAGTATTTTTCCCCTAACCTCGATTTTAAACGGCTGGATCTGGACTTGCAGCGCCGAGTGGCGACGGTTGTGGTGGTTCTTTGGCCGTTGCAGGGAGGAGAGCCCCCAGACCAGACCAACCTGCCTCCCTCCTGCCGGCAGTTAATGCATCCCTGCTGTGCTCCCGGCTCCAACCTCGTTACTTACCAAGACGTAGCCTCTTCCAAAGTTTTAATATCAGTGTACACGAATGGCTACTTGCAAATTATGGCGCGTGAATGAAATCTTTCAGCGGGTGAAGAACTGCTCCTTTCTCCTTTCCCCAGCGAGGCAAAACAACTGGCCACCACTTCCCAAGAAGTGTCCCATCAAGCCATGCTTTTATCAGGATTTTTCGGCGGACATCCCGGCCGACTACCAGCGGATATGCAAGATGCTGTATTACTTGTGGATGTGTAAGTCATGGCTTGAACTGCAGTGGCAACTCTTTTCTGAGAAGATTCTGTATCAAATGCTGGGCTTTGCCACGCAGTGAATTCTGTAGGTGTTGCCTGCAAGGGTAAAGTCTCCCTTCCTTTTTTATGAAAGCAAATGTAAAGCACTCGGGATCAAGTTTTTTGCTTTGGGAATAGCTCGTTCCTGACAGAAGTCTGATTGTTGTTTAATGGGGACTTTACAGTCCGAGACAGCAGATAATACGGTTGGGAGATGGGATGTAAAACAGTCTCAACCGTATTGGTCAATTGTGATGCTCTGAAAAGATTTAAGATTTGGTTGTAAGCAGCAGGATCAGATGAGGTTCTTAGGTTAAGCTCTGTTTTCAAGGGAGGGAAGGAAATGAGATGGCCCAAAGGCTCCTTAATTTCTGCAGAGCTCCATGTGTTCAGTGAGAGATTAGGGATGCGTGGAGAGGCTTCTGAGTTTTCCAAGAACTTACTGATGTTTCTTCTCTCTCTCTCTCCTGTCCCAAACAGTGCATTCGATTACCCTGCTCCTAAACCTGCTCGCTTGCCTGGCATGGTTCACAGTCCAGGCGCAGAGAGGAGTAGACTTTGGTCTCTCCATCTTGTGGTTTATTTTATTCACTCCTTGTGCCTTTCTCTGCTGGTACCGACCAATTTACAAGGCTTTCAGGCAAGTACTGTTTGCTTCTGTAACGGGGATATATCTTTTAGCGGGAGGAGCTTTGGTTTTGACTGGTCTGATCATATATTGCCTGCAGGATTTTTCCAGCTCTTCACATCGTGAAATAGATCAAACCCACTTGTTCCTAAACATACTAGAAGCATCTGATGGAACTCGTTTATGGTGGACCTTTTTCCTCCTGCAATCCAAACCTAGCCAACCATAGGGTCCTGCTTTTTATTAATTTCTGAGAAACTGTTTGGCACGCTCGTGTGCTGAACACACTGTGTGTGCACTGGGCAGAGGGGTGGTTTTGCAATATGCAGTGGAACGTGTTGTAACTTGTGTCGCTGCATAAGTTCCTCCTGAACTCACCTTCCCTTAGCAGCTTTCTCCTGGAGAAAGGGGTTCGCTGATTGTTTCCCTCCTCTTAGAGAAGGGAGTCTGTGCAGGGATCGTGTCCCTGGGTTTCACTCCTGCTGCCGTCTCTCCTGCAGGTCTGACAGCTCCTTCAGCTTCTTCGTCTTCTTTTTCATCTTCTTCTGCCAAAT